GCCACCATGCCCAGCTAATTTTTGTATTTTTGTTTGTTCCTTTATTTTTTATTTTTTTGAGATGGAGTTTTGCTCTTGTTACCCAGGCTGGAGTGCAATGGCACGATCTCGTCTCACTGCAGTCTCCGCCTCCTGGGTTCAGGCAATTCTCCTGCCTCAGCCTGAGTAGCTGGGATTACAGGCACGCGCCACCATGCCCAGCTAATTTTTTATATTTTTAGTAGAGATGGGGTTTCACCTTGTTGACCAGGATGGTCTCGATCTCTTGACCTCGTGATCCACCCGCCTTGGCCTCCCAAAGTGCTGAGATTACAGGCTTGAGCCACTGCTCCCGGCCTAATTTTTGTATTTTTAGTAGAGACGGGGTTTCACCATGTTGACCAGGATGGTCTTGATCTCTTGACCTCGTGATCCACCTGTCTCAGCCTCCCAAAGTGCTGGGATTATAGGCGTGAGCCACCACGCTCGGACTGTAGTTCCTTTCTTTTGGCCAATTTCTTCCTTTTGAAATGGCAACATTTACCTAATGCCTGTACCCCCACTGTAACAACAAAGTAAATAACTTGTTTTGATTTTTAAGGTTAATAGGTGAACCAGGCGCGGTGGCTAACACCTATAATCTCAGCAATTTGGGAGGCCGAAGTGGGCAGATAGTCTGAGTTTAGGAGTTCAAGACTAGCCTGGCCAGCAAGATGAAACCCTATGTGTACCAACAACAAAAAATTAGGCTGGGTGCAGTGGCTCATGCCTGTAATCCCAGCACTTTGGGAGGCCAAGGCAGGTGGATCATGAGGTCAGGAGATCAAGATCAGCCTGGTCAACATGGTGAGACTTGTCTCTATTAAAGATACAAAAACTAGCCAGGCACGGTGGCACATGCCTGTAATCCCAGCTACTTGGGAAGCTGAGGCCTGAAGATCACTTGGACCCGGGAGGTGGAGGTTACAGTGAGCTGACATTGCGCCAGGCCTGGGCAAGAGTGAGATTCTGTCTCAAAAAAAAAAAAAAAAAAAAAATAGAATTTTTTTTTTTTTTTTTTTTTTTTTTTTTTTGAGACGGAGTTTCGCTCTTGTTACCCAGGCTGGAGTGCAATGGCACGATCTCGGCTCACCGCAACCTCCGCCTCCTGAGTTCAGGCAATTCTCCTGCCTCAGCCTCCTGAGTAGCTGGGATTATAGGCACGCGCCACCATGCCCAGCTAATTTTTTGTATTTTTAGTAGAGACAGGGTTTCACCGTGTTGACCAGGATGGTCTCGATCTCTTGACCTCGTGATCCACCCGCCTCAGCCTCCCAAAGTGCTGGGATTACAGGCTTGAGCCACCGCGCCCAGCCAAAAAATAGAATTTTTAAACAAATACTATATACAACTAATGCTTTTTTTTCCTGAAATCTTTTTTTTTTTTTTTTTTTTTGAGACGGAGTTTCGCTCTTGTTACCCAGGCTGGAGTGCAATGGCGCGATCTCGGCTCACTGCAACCTCCGCCTCCTGGGCTCAGGCAATTCTCCTGCCTCAGCCTCCTGAGTAGCTGGGATTACAGGCACGCGCCACCACGCCCAGCTAATTTTTTGTATTTTTAGTAGAGACGGGGTTTCACCATGTTGACCAGGATGGTCTCGATCTCTCGACCTCGTGATCCACCTGCCTCGGCCTCCCAAAGTACTGGGATTACAGGCTTGAGCCACCGCGCCCGGCTTTTTTCCTGAAATCTATGTTTACCTGGGCTCTGTGCAAAATTTTATTATCTTTCCAATTGTAGTGAAAAGGCAATTTACATTAATTTTAAAAGTCTGAAGCTGCAATAAGTGAATTTTTTTTTTTTTAAGACAGGCTCTCACTCTATTCCCCAGGCTAGAGTGCGGCAGCACAGTCACAGCTCACTGCAGCATCAAACACCCAGGCTCAGGGCCTCAGCCTTCTAGATAGCTGGGAACACAGGTATGTGCCACCACATTCAGCTAATTTTTTGTATTTTTTGAGGAAGGAGTTTCGACTGGTCTTTTTTTTTTTTTTGAGATGGAGTTTTCGCTCTTGTTACCCAGGCTGGAGTGCAATGGCGCGATCTCGGCTCACCGCAACCTCTGTCTCCTGGGTTCAGGCAATTCTCCTGCCCCAGCCTTCTGAGTAGCTGGGATTACAGGCACGTGCCACCATGCCCAGCTAATTTTTTGTATTTTTAGTAGAGATGGGGTTTCACCATGTTGACCAGGATGGTCTCGATCTCTCGACCTCATGATCCACCCGCCTCGGCCTCCCAAAGTGCTGGGATCATAGGCGTGAGCCACGGCACCCGGCCCCTACATAAGCTTTCTTATTGTTGGGTGTGTCTTCATTCTGAAGGCTCCCATATAAACATGTTAAATAAATTTGCATAACTTTCCTTCTATTAATCCACCTAAGTTCCTTAATCTAAATTTTTTTTCCTTTTTCAACTTGTTTTATTAAAAAAGTACAAAAATAAAACGTATATCTAAAATAAGCATTTTTGAGATAGTCTCGCACTGTCACCCAGGCTGTAGTGCAGTGGCATGATCTTGGCTCACTGCAATCTCTGCCTCCTGGATTCAAGCAATTGTCTTGCCTCAGCCTCTCAAGCAGCTGGGACTACAGGTATGTGCCTCCATGCCCAGCTAATTTTTTTGTCTTTTTAATAGAGACGGGGTTTCACCATGTTGGCCAGGATGGTCTAGATCTCCTGACCTTGTGATCCACTCGCCTTGGTCTCCCAATGTACTGGGATTACAGGTGTGAGTCACTGTGCCTGGCCAGTGCACCTACCTCTGCCACTGCCGTCTTCCCTGCTCCGAGTCACTTTGTGCAATCTGACAATGACTCCACCCTTTACTGATGTGGATACATTATCTGGTACTGGGTATGTCATCTCCACAAGAAGACAGGGTTTGATCAGGGATTGATGCTGCATCCTGTGGTGCCTGGATACCGACCTTAGGAGTTTTAAATAAGCATTTCTGAAGAGCAGCTTCCTTCGTACCTTAAAGGAAGTGACTAAATTGTTCTATGTCATTGCATAATATAGAAAAGTAACTTTTCCATGTTGCCATTAACTTTACACTGCTGAGATAAACAGACTGTTGACAACTTAGCATCAATAGCACATTATCAGAGAAAGAAAGGCTTATATTTAGATAATTTACACAAATTTATTAGCCTCATGACTCAGTAAAGCAAGTTGAAAAAATATTACATAGCTATATAAGGCATAAATCTATCTATCTATCTATATAGATATATATTTTTTTACTTTTTTTAAAAAATAAAGATGGGGTTTCACCATGATGGCCAGGCTGGTCTTGAACTTCTGAACTTAGGTGATCCACCCACCTTGGCCTCCCAAAGTGCTAGGATTACAGGCGTGAGCCACCACGCTTGGCCAATTTATATGCTTTAAAGAAGGTACTTTCTGGTAAACAACCTCGGCTCACTGCAATCTCCGCCTCCTAGGTTCAAGCAATTCTCTCGCCTCCGGAGTAGCTGGGCATGCACCACCACACCCAGCTAATTTTTTTGTCTTTTTAGTAGAGACAATCAATGACCCCACCCTTCACCGCTGTGGATACATTATCTGGGACTGGGTATGTCATCTCCACATGAAGACAGGTGTGAGCCACTGCACCCAGCAAGAAAACATTTCAAATTATAAACATGGTTTGGTCAGTGACTGATGCTGCATCCTGTGGTGCCTGGACACTGACCTTAGGGAGTTTTAAATAAGCATTTCTGAAGAGCAGCTTCCTTGGAAGATATTTCAAATACATTTTAGGAAATATTTTATTCTTTAGAGAAGTAAGAGAAAAACAGGTCTAGAGTCTAGTCTCCCCTCAACAGAAGGCCAAATATTTTTCCACTGGAGAGACACATGTCATATACCAGACACTTGAGACATTGTTCCTAAGTGACCATGATGGATCAGGACAAAAACAAGGGCATTTTGTAACTATAATTTCTTTTCTTTTTTTTTTTTTTTTTTTTGAGACGGAGTTTTGCTCTTGTTACCCAGGCTGGAGTGCAATGGCGTGATCTCGGCTCACCGCAACCTCCGCCTCCTGGGTTCATGCAATTCTCCTGCCTCAGCCTCCTGAGTAGCTGGGATTACAGGCACGCGCCACCACGCCCAGCTAATGTTTTGTATTTTTTAGTAGAGACGGGGTTTCACCATGTTGACCAGGATGGTCTCGATCTCTCGACCTCGTGATCCACCCGCCTCGGCCTCCCAAAGTGCTGGGATTACAAGCTTGGGCCACCGCGCCCGGCCTTGTAACTATAATTTCTAAATGTGATAGAAGAAAAAATTTTTTTGAAACAAAGTCTTGCTCTGTCACCAGGCTGGAGTGCAGTGGCACAATCTCTGCTCACTGCAACCTCCACCTCCCAGGTTCAAATGATTCTCCTGCCTCAGCCTCCTGAGTAGCTGGGACTAAAGGTATGTGCCACCACACCCAACTAACTTTTGCATTTTTTTTTTTGGTTGTTTCTTTTTGTTTTGTTTTGTTTTTTTGGTTTCAACTTTTGCATTTTTAGTGGAGATGATGTTTCACCATGTTGGCCAGGATGGTCTAAATCTATTGATCTCATGATCCTCCCACCTTGGCCTCCCAAAGTGCTGTGCTGGGATTGCAGGTGTGAGGCATCCTATCAGGCTGATAAAACATTTTTTTTCCGGGTCATTAGGCAAAGCAACATATTTCTTTTTTTTGAGATGGAGTTTCAATCTTGTTGCCCAAGCTGGACTGCAATAGTGCAATCTTGGCTCACTGCAACCTCCGCCTCCTGGATTCAAGCGATTCTTCGGCCTCAGCCTCCAGAGAAGCTGGGATTACAGGCATGTGCTACCACATCTGGCTAATTTTGTATATTTGGTAGCGACAGGTTTCCTCCACGTTGGTCAGGTTGGGTGTGAACTCCCAACGTCAGGTGATCTGCCTGCCTCATTCCCTCAAAGTTCTGGGATTACAGGCATGAACCACTGTGCCTGGTGGGAAAACATATTTCAAATCATAAATATAACTAAAATTTTTCTCTTCTTACTAATGTGACTAACTTATAAATCTTATATGTCACATAGTAATTTATGGCTTTTGGTCATATTTATCACTATGCTGTATTGCACCCTTGGTGAAAACAGGTATGGCACTGGTGGTTTTGGGGAAGAAGGCACTCGAGGTACATGAGATAACTTTTGGTATTGTGAATGAATAATTAGGGTAGAGATAAAAATTTAAGTACATAAGCATGAAAAGTAAAATTTCCATGAGGAAAAAGATGCCTGGCATTTTATCCACATGGTAGAAATGACTCAAAATGTCCAAATAATAACATGGAAACATTATAAACTTGATCTAGTACATGACAGCAACAGGGTATTTTGTTATAACTTCTTAATTAAAAAGAATAACATTTGTTAGTATATAGTAATTATAAACAGTTAATTGTTTATGTTCATTGTCTGTATTCAAAGAATCTTGGCAGATCGGAAGGCTTTCCCATACATTTATACATTTATATGATTTCTCTTGAGAGTATCGAGTGTGAATCCTTCCATGTGTTTGAAGTTGTGAGGCAGATCTGAAAGCTTTCCCACATTGCTTACATTGATAGGGTTTCTCCCCAGTGTGAGTCCTTTCATGATATTGAAAAGAACTGGAAGAAGCGAAACCTTTGCCACATTGCTTGCATTCATATGGTTTCCTTCCACCGTGAGTCTTTTTATGTTTATGGAGGGAACTAGAAGAAATGAAGGCTTTTCCACATTGCGTACACTCATAGGGTTTCTCTCCTGTGTGAGTCCTTTCATGACATCGAAAAGAAGTGGAAGAAATGAAGGCTTTCCCACACTGCTTACATTGATAGGGTTTCTCCCCAGTGTGAGTCCTTTCATGATGTTGAAAAGATCTGGAAGAAGTGAAACTTTTGCCACACTGCTTGCATTCATAGGGTTTCCTTCCAGCATGAGTCTTTTCATGTCTATGAAGGGAACTAGAAGAAACAAAGGCTTTTCCACATTGCGTACACTCATAGGGTTTCTCTCCTGTGTGAGTCCTTTCATGATACTGAAAAGAAGCCGAAGAAATAAAGGCTTTCCCACATTGCTTACATTGATAGGGTTTCTCCCCAGTGTGAGTCCTTTCATGATATTGAAAAGAACTGAAAGAACTGAAAGCTTTGCCACATAGTTTGCATTCATAGGGTTTGCTTCCAGCATGAGTCTTTTCATGTCTATGAAAGGAAGTAGGTAAGCTGAATGCTTTCCCACAATCCTTACATTTATATGGCTTCTCTCCAGTATGAGTCCTTTTGTGTATATACAGGGAAGAAAAAGAAGCAAATGCTTTTCCGCATTCCTTACATTCACAAGGCTTCTCTCCAGTGTGTGTTCTTGCATGTATTTGAAGGAACTTAGCAGATCTGAATGCTTTCCCACAATGCTTACATTCATAAGGCTTCTCTCCTGTGTGCATCCTTTCATGTATTTTAAAATAAGAGAAATCACTGAACGCTTTTCCACATTCCTTACATTCATAGGGTTTCTCTCCAGTGTGTCTCCTTTCATGAATTCGAAGGCTTTTGACAGATCCCAAGGCTTTCCCGCATTGCTTACATTCATAGGGTTTCTCTCCAGTGTGGGTCCTTTCATGTTTTCGAAAGGAACTGGAACAATTGAAGCCTTTACCACATTGCTTACATTCATAGGGTTTCTCTCCAGTGTGTGTCCTTTCATGAATTTGAAGGCTTTTGACAGATCCCAAGGCTTTCCCACATTGCTTACATTCATAGGGTTTCTCTCCAGTGTGAATTCTTTCATGATTTCGAAAGGAACTGGAACAACTGAAGGCTTTACTGCATTGCTTACACTCATAAGGTTTCTCTCCAGTGTGAGTCCTAACATGATATCGAAAGGAAGTAGGATAACTGAAGGCTTTACCACATTGCTTGCATTTATAGGGTTTCTTTCCTGTGTGAGTGTTTTCATGCATTTGAAACGAACTGGCAGAATAAAAGCCTTTCCCACATATCTTACATTTATAAGGTCTTTCTCCAGAGTGCATTCTCATGTGTGTTTGAAAACTTGTAAGATAGGAGAATGCTTTCCCACACTGCTTACATTCATAGGGTTTTTTCCCAGAGTGGGTCCTTTCATGTCTACGAACAGAACTGGAACATGTGAATGCTTTTCCACATTGCTTACATTGATAAGGCTTCTCTCCCGTGTGACTCATTTCATGTCTACGAAAGGATCTGGGATTATGGAATGCTTTATCACATTTGTTACATTCATAGGGCTTCTCCCCAGTGTGAGTTCTTTCATGTATTTGAAAGGAACGAAACCAACTGAAAGATTTGCCACATTGTTTACATTCATATGGCTTCGCCCCAGTGTGGGTTCTTTCATGTGCTTGAAAGGAACTGGAACTAAAGAATGCTTTCCCACATTCCTGACATTCATAAGGCTTTTCTCCAGTGTGAGTTCTTTCATGTATTCGAAGGGTAGCAGAATAACTAAAGGATTTACCACATTGTTTACACTCATATGGTTTCTCTCCAGTGTGGATTCTTTCATGCAAAAGATATAAACTGAGATGACAGAAGGCTTTCCCACAAAACTTACATTTATAAGGTTCATCCCCACTGTGCATTACCATGTGTCTTCGAATGCTTGAATGGGAAATAGAGGTTTCTCCACATTCTTTATAAGCAAAGAGTTTCTCTCCAGTGTGATCCCTTTCTTGTGTTCTAAAGGAAGGGCAATATCTGAAGGTTTTCCTAGGTTGTTGACACTTATATGGCTTCTGTCCAAAGTCACCGCTGATGTTCATACTAAACGATGAGTTACCTATGCCAACTCCTCCACACACAAAGCTTTCACATGATTTTACTTCAGGAGAAGTTTTCTTCTTCTGGAAGTTCAGCCTGTCATCTGGAACCTCGGTAAAAGTTTCTTCACAATGACTGTCTTCTTTAATTTCATTGACTTTCTCTTCTATAAGACTCCTGTAAAATATGAGAAGCACATTATGGTTTGTTTATTTATTTATTTATTTATTTTTGAGACGGAGTTTCGCTCTTGTTACCCAGGCTGGAGTGCAATGGCGCGATCTCAGCTCACCGCAACCTCCGCCTCCTGGGTTCAGGCAATTCTCCTGCCTCAGCCTCCTGAGTAGCTGGGATTACAGGCACGTGCCACCATGCCCAGCTAATTTTTTGTATTTTTAGTAGAGACGGGGTTTCACCATGTTGACCAGGATGGTCTCGATCTCTCGACCTCGTGATCCACCCGCCTCGGCCTCCCAATATGGTTTGTTTATAAGTAATTTTATATTCATCAACAAGTGTTGCACTTGTGTTTTTTTTTTTTTGTTTTTTTTTTTTGAGACGAAGTTTCGCTCTTGCTACCCAGCCTGGAGTGCAATGGCGTGATCTCGGCTCACCGCAACCTCCGCCTCTTGGGTTCAGGCAATTCTCCTGCCTCAGCCTCCTGAGTAGCTGGGATTACAGCCACGCGCCACCATGCACAGCTAATTTTTTGTATTTTTAGTAGAGACGGGGTTTCACCATGTTGACCAGGATGGTCTCGATCTCTTGACCTCGTGATCCAGCCACCTCGGCCTCCCAAAGTGCTGGGATTACAGGCTTCAGCCACCGCGCCCAGCAGCATTTTTTTTTTTTTTTTAAATAAAGATGGGGTTTCACCATGATGGTCAGGCTGGTCTTGAACTCCCAACCTCAGGTGATCCACATGCCTTGGCCTCCGAAGTGCTTGGATTACAGGCATGAGCCACCACGCCCGGCCTTTTTCTTTTCTTTTCTTTTTCCACTTGCATTTTCAACATTGTCCATCAAAGTGTAGGCTTTCTGCCCTGTCAGAATTGTTTGAAGGTGACCGCACAACATGTTCTACAAGGTAACCCAGGCATACCTATTATTTAAAAATATATTCGTATGGGGCATCTTTTTTTTTGAGACGGAGTTTCGCTCTTGTTACCCAGGCTGGAGTGCAATGGCGTGATCTTGGCTCACCGCAACCTCCGCCTCCTGGGTTCAGGCAATTCTCCTGCCTCAGCCTCCTGAGTAGCTGGGATTACAGGCACGTGCCACCCTGCCCAGCTAATTTTTGTATTTTTATTAGAGACGGGGTTTCACCATGTTGACCAGGATGGTCTTGATCTCTTGACCTCGTGATCCACCTGCCTCAGCCTCCCAAAGTGCTGGGATTACAGGTTTGAGCCACCACGCCTGGCGTATGGGGCATCTTAATACTATTCCCGTGAAACTATTTTACAAATACTCTCTGACATTTTTCTTTTGAGTCAGAGTTTCACCCTGTTGCCCATGCTGGAATGCAGTGATATCATCATAGCTCACTGCAGCTTTTAATTCTTGGCTCAAGTGATCCTCCTGCCTTAGCCTCCTGAGCAGCTGGGACTAAAGATGCATACCATGATGCCCAGCTAATTTTTTGCTTTGTTGATATGTGGTCTCTTTATGTTGCCCAAGCTGTTTTTGAACTGCTGGCCTCAAGCTATCCTCCTATCTCCTTTCTCAACGGATTAGGATTACAGGAGTGAACCCTCAGCCTAGGTCACATTGAAATATGTTTTTTGAGAAAATATTCTAAGAATAAATGAATTTGATCCTGGGCCTATTCTTTGTTTTCCTTCTTTTTAACATATTCTCATATTCTAAGATCACATAGAGAGACACTGTTTTATCTTACAAGTGCAAATTACCTTAAGTTTCTCCTAGGGTTTTGGCACTCATCTTCAATGCTCTTGTCTTTCCACTTTCTTCCTAAAATACAGACAAAGAAAAATAATCCTGAAGCAGTATAAAATTGTGAAAAAATTATTAGATTCTATGCTCATGATTTGCTGTGGCCATGCCTCATTTATTCATCTAAGTGTTTCTTGTCTATGTGCCAAATCACTCAACAGCATTGATGAGCTAGAAACATTGGTTTGCTAATGCACTGAGGGAAGTAATATTGTCATTCTTACCTAAAGAAATCAGGTTCCTGAAAGTTTCCAGCATCACTTCCCTGTAGAGATTCTTCTGGGAAATATCCAGCAAAGCCCACTCCTCCTGGGTGAAGTTCACAGCCACATCCTCAAAGGCCACTGGGTCCTGAAACATTCCACATGTGTGGAGGAGGATGGGTGAGTGTGACAGCACTAGGGGCCTAGATTATATTCCCAAGAAGTTCCCATGATGCTGTAACTTCAAACATTCCTTCTCTGCTTTGGTCATCAGATCCCCTTCTCTCTGTCTATACTTATTTTCTTCCATAAAGCAATTTTTTGTTTGTTTGTTTGAGACAGAGTCTCACTCTGTTGCCCAGGCTGGAGTGTACTGGCACGATCTTTGCTCACTACAACTTCTGCCTCCTGGGTTCAAGCAATTCTCATGCCTCAGTATCCTGAGTAGCTGAGACCACAGGCATGTGCCACCACACCTGGCTAATTAAGAAAGCAATTGTGATGCTAGAACTGAACAAGGGATAAAGCAACAGTGGGATAGAAAAATGTGTGTTTTCAGTGAATCCAGGGAGAAAAGTGAGCTGCCTGGGCTGTCCCTAAGGTCTCTTTGGATTGTGGGTCTGTAATACCTGTCATGGTAAAGTCCTATGAACTAATATGCAGAAAAAAGTTAACATAGGCCTTTCAATAGGTGATTAAAGAAACAGTCCTGGCCGGGCGCGGTGGCTCAAGCCTGTAATCCCAGCACTTTGGGAGGCCGAGGAGGGTGGATCACGAGGTCAAGAGTTCGAGACCATCCTGGTCCACATGGTGAAACCCCGTCTCTACTAAAAATACAAAAATTAGCTGGGCATGGTGGCGCGTGCCTGTAATCCCAGCTACTCAGGAGGCTGAGGCAGGAGAATTGCCTGAACCCAGGAGGCGGAGGTTGCGGTGAGCCGAGATCGCGCCATTGCACTCCAGCCTGGGTAACAAGAGCGAAACTCCGTCTCAAAAAAAAAAAAAAAAAAAAAAAAGAAACAGTCCTGAGGCCAGGCGCCGTGGCTCACACCTGTAATCCCAGCACTTTGGGAGGCCAAGGCGGGTGGATCACTTGAGGTCAAGAGATCGAGACCATCCTGGTCAACATGGTGAAACCCCGTCTCTACTAAAAATACAAAAAAAATTAGCTGGTCATGGTGGTGCGTGCCTGTAATCCCAGCTACTCAGGAGGCTGAGGCAGGAGAATTGCCTGAACCCAGGAGGCGGAGGTTGCAGTGAGCCGATATCGCGCCATTGCACTCCAGCCTGGGTAACAAGAGCAAGAGCGAAACTCCGTCTCAAAAAAAATAAAATAAAAGAAGACACAAGAGAGTCTGCTTTTTCTCTTCTCTGTCATACCCCAAGAACTGTCAGAAATAAATGTTTATTCTTTAAGTCACCCAGTCTATGGTAATTTGATATAACAGCCCAAGATGACTAAGATAGAGAGGCACTATCCCTACTATACACTGGAGCTTTGAACTCTACACTAATTATGAGAAAATGGTATTAACAGAGAGATGTTAAGACAGACCAAAAAAAAAAAAAAAATAGCAAATTGTGAAGCCAGGGCATCTATTTGAGATATGTGAAACTATGACAAACTACATATTGCCAGCCAATGATACAAGTGCTGAACACTTAATAGATAAACCAGGGGACCGGGCGCGGTGGCTCATGCCTGTAATCCCAGCACTTTGGGAGGCCGAGGCGGGTGGATCACGAGGTCAAGAGATCGAGACCATCCTGGTCAACATGGTGAAACCCCGTCTCTACTAAAAATACAAAAAAATTAGCTGGGCATGGTGGCGTGTGCCTGTAATCCCAGCTACTCAGGAGGCTGAGGCAGGAGAATTGCCTGAACCCAGGAGGCGGAGGTTGCGGTGAGCCGAGATCGCACCATTGCACCCCAGCCTGGGTAACAAGAGCGAAACTCCGTCTCAAAAAAAAAAAAAAAAAAAAAAAAAAAATAGATAAACCAGGGACAAACGGTTATCTACAGGAGAATAATCAATCTACTACCATATACATATACATCTCCATTTACAATGAATTAATTCTAGAGTTGTCTGTTTTAGGAAGTGCTTACAATTATATGTTACCTTAGCATGCATTTTCATTATGGATTTAACTTTCTCGTAAGATAAGAAAAATTTACTCTTACTCAACAGTTTCTAGTTCTCCATCTCCTCCCAGTTCCTCCATGTGGTCAACTCACATATATGACTTACATGACTATTCTGGTGACCACCTCCCTGTGGGAGAAGTACATACAACCAATTTGACTCGTCCCACTGACCCTTACACCCAACATGGATGATGGATGGCACAGACCACCTCTTAAACACTGTGTAACTTCACAGAAGTTCTATGAAGTGCCTGCTTGCTCTAAATCCACCAGAAACAACTCCGAGAGATAGATACTCCCTTGGTCAATTCCCTGGACCCCAAGAAAAGCTTTGGCCAAAAGGTCCCTGTCTGTCTTGCTCCCCATCTGCTGGTTGAACGTGAATCCTAGAATATTCCCCCACTCTGTGTTGTTCTGCAGGTGTGCTGCCCTCATCTCCTGGGCTTGTGAGCAATGCACTGTTATGTCATGGGCTCTGTTGAGTTGCCTCTTCTGTGTCTTACCTGACCTACACAATCATTCTTGGATTTGGCTCTAGTGAAAAATGCAATGTAAAGTTAATTTGAAACACTAAAGCTGAAATACATGAACAAATCTTTTTTTTTTTTTTTTTCTTTTTTCTTTTGAGACGGAGTTTCGCTCTTGTTATCCAGGCTGGAGTGCAATGGCACGATCTCGGCTCACCGCAACCTCTGCCTCCTGGGTTCAGGCAATTCTCCTGCCTCAGCCTCCTGAGTAGCTGGAATTACAGGCACGCACCACCATGCCCAGCTAATTTTTTGTATTTTTAGTAGAGACGGGGTTTCACCATGTTGACCACGTTGGTCTCGATCTCTTGACCTCGTGATCCACCCGCCTCGGCCTCCCAAAGTGCTGGGATTACAGGCTTGCGCCACTGCGCCCGGCCATACATGAACAATTCTTTAAAAGGGACAAGTCACAGAGAAAAATGCAGTGTAAAGTTAATTTGAAATGCTAAAGTTAGGGCCGGGCGCGGTGGCTCAAGCCTGTAATCCCAGCACTTTGGGAGGCTGAGGCGGGTGGATCACGAGGTCAAGAGATCGAGACCATCCTGGTCCACATGGTGAAACCCTGTCTCTACTAAAAATACAAAAAATTAGCTGGGCATGGTGACGCGTGCCTGTAATCCCAGCTACTCAGGAGGCTGAGGCAGGAGAATTGCCTGAACCCAAGAGGCGGAGGTTGCGGTGAGCTGAGATTGTGCCATTGCACTCCAGCCTGGGTAACGAGCGAAACTCCGTCTCAAAAACAAAAACAAAAACAAAAACAAAAAAGAAAGAAAGAAAAGAAAAGAAAGAAAGAAATGCTAAAGTTATATATGAACAATTCGTTACAAGGGACAGGCCACAGAAAGGCAGTGCTGGCTGGAACACAGTGATGTCTGACTCATGTATCAGCACAGGTCACCCTATCACAGGAGACATCTCTCCACCCTCATCCTGCTCACTGAAGTGCTCAATGACTATTTCCTACCAATACTGTACTATGCCACCCCCATCCCACACCATACCCTCTTTCATATTTTGATTTGCAGGCTACTGGTCCACCCTGTTGCAGTGAGCTTTCCTTGTCTTTTGGAGTTTTATTTCCCTTCACAGTTGAGACAATCCAGAGGACAGGAATTATTTCTCTTTTCCCTCAATAGCACCATCCAACTGGCTGACCAGTTGCTGAAAATACAGAAGTCGGCCGGGCGCGGTGGCTCACGCCTATAATCTCAGTCCTTTGGGAGGCCGAGGCGGGTGGATCACGAGGTCAAGAGATCGACACCATCCTGGTCAACAAGGTGAAACCCCGTCTCTATTAAAAATACAAAAATTAGCTGTGCATGGTGGCGCGCGCCTTTAGTCCCAGCTACTCAGGAGGCTGAGGCAGGAGAATTGCCTGAAGCCAGGAGGCGGAGGTTGCAGTGGGCTGAGATCGCGCCATTGCACACTAGCCTGGGTAACAAGAGTGAAACTCCGTCTCAAAAAAAAAAAAAGAAAATACAGAAGTCAAATACCCAGATCAATGGACTCATATTCAATTTTTGCAAATCCATGAAGTGGAAACTAATCTATCAGGAAGAGACGTAGTGCGAAAGTTAGTCCTAAAGGATTCCTCAGCTTATTAAATCTACTCACCACTGTGTGTCTTGTCAAGGGAAGGAAATTGAGGGAAACTTTAAGTCCCTCCAATACAAATCAGACTAAAAACTCCTGGAAAATAGTAAGAAGAAAGCAATACCCCATTCCCTTAAAAGGCAGGATAACGCTGGGACTGGCGCAGTGGCTCAAGCCTGTAATCCCAACACTTTGGGAGGCCAAGGCGGGTGGATCACGAGGTCAAGAGATCGAGACCATCCTGGTCAACATGGTGAAATCCCGTCTCTACTAAAAAAATACAAAAAATTAGCTAGGCATGGTGTTGCGTGCCTGTAATCCCAGCTACTCAAGAGGCTGAGGCAGGAGAATTGCCTGAACCCAGGAGGCGGAGGTTGCGGTGAGCCAAGATCGCGCCATGGCACTCCAGCCTGGGTAACAAGAGTGAAACTCCGTCTCAAAAAAAAAAAAAAAAAAAAAAAAGGCAGGATAAGGCTAAAGCCTATAATGGAAAGTCTCATTAAAGATAGGCTCCTTGAACTCTGTATGTTTCCTTACAGTACACCAATCCTGCTTGTTAAGAAATCAGACAGGTCGCCGGGCGTGGTGGCTCAAGCCTGTAATCCCAGCACTTTGGGAGGCCGAGGTGGGTGGATCACGAGGTCGAGAGATCGAGACCATCCTGGTCAACATGGTGAAACCCCGTCTCTACTAAAAATACAAAAAATTAGCTGGGCATGGTGGCACGTGCCTGTAATCCCAGCTACTTAGGAGGCTGAGGCAGGAGAATTGCCTGAACCCAGGAGGCGGAGGTTGCGGTGAGCCGAGATCGCGCCATTGCACTCCAGCCTGGGTAACAAGAGTGAAATTCCGTCTCAAAAAAAAAGGCCGGGCGCG